GATGGCATTATCTAAGAGCTAGATAATGACTAGCTCTTAGATATCTTTCCCTAACCTAGACCTCAGACCTCATGAACCAGAATATGCAAAATGTGATTAATAATATTTTTAGGAGATATGTTTCTACATTGCACTGAATTAATCAGCTGTACCATGAAAAGCCAAAACTGTGATATATAAATATTTCCTTACCCTCAGTCAGCTTTGCTCACTGAGTAAGAGTAATAGCAGTTATCTGACTACTCTATGCTGATGCTGATTCCAACACAATACAATCTAACTGTATAATACAGGTGACAGGATACATAGGTTTTCCATTAATTCTTCATCCCATAAACTGATCACTGATAACAAGTGCTTATTTATTATATACATATTAATAGTTATAAATAATAAATTATTACAGAAGCAACAGTTTTCACTTATAAAAGAGACAGTACTTTTAACTCTCATTTTCAGATGTTTTTCAAAATAAAATTACTTTCATTTGGTTTATAAGTTTGGTAAATTTACCGAACCAAAATATTTTTTGCCAAATTATCTTCATTTAAACCTATACACGAGTGCTCTCCTATGTCATTTAAAATCAAAATATATCAGTTTCAAAAAGATCTCTGAGGTCAATTTACCAAATTCAATAAGTCCCTACACAGATCTATGTTCATAAATAGGAATTCAAAAAAACCACTTTAAAGGTTTCAAGTTCTACTTCAATTGTTGGTGGGCTAGCAACAGGCAGAGGGCAGCAAAACCTTATATTTATGTAAACTGAAGAAACTTAAAAGCATAGTAATCATATTTTTGTTTAGATCATTTTAAAAGTTCTTGGTTAATCAATCAAAGCAAATATAACCACCTATAAACCTTAATTACAATCCTCTACAATGAGCAAAATTGTTTTAATGAAGCTCCAAATTATATATTTAAGAGCTACCAAAAAGTATAGGTATTTTTTTTTCATAAAGAAAATTACCTTCAAAACAAAAGCATAGAGTATCAACTTTGAATTATTCTTTTTTTATTGGTTGCTCAAAACATTACAATGATCTTGACATATCATATATCATACATTTGATTCAAATGGGGTATGAATTCTTATTTTTCCCATGTGTACAGATTGCAGGATCACATTGGTTACACATCCACGTTTATACATACAGCCATACTAGTGTCTGTTGTATTC